TTCCTACAGTTCAATCAGGTACCTCAAAGTTGCTAGAAGTGGTCCATGTTTACAAATCTTTCGGTGAGCGAAGGTGGCTAGAATTCGGTGATTCGGCAGTTTGAATTGCAGTTTTTTATACGTGAAAAATAGGGTTTTGTGTGTTTTTGATAGAGGAACCAAGAACTGATGAAGCTCTAATACCTATTAATGTATGACCAAGACAAAACATAAAATTTAGAGAGAAGAACAGAACCAAGATAGAGAAGAAAAACCACAGGAGAGATAGAACTAGAACTAGATGAGAGAGAGAAGGGATTTTAGAGAAAGAATAAAAACTCCAGTAGAGGAAAGGCAACAACATCTACATTCATTCATAAACCATTTTCTAAAAATAAACAACATAAAGTGTCTTATCTATTGAAGCCAAAACCCTAAAGGGAAATTTGCATTGGGTGGCCTACATTCCACCCACTACAAAATATATGTTCATTGTTTTCATAATTAAGAGTAATGGCAAGTTCTTTTATATAAAATTTTGTACTTCACATGATCACATTAAAAACGCTCACAGAGCTCTTCTCCTTCACATTGAACACTCACAAAACTCCTATTTTCCGCTAAACAACTCGCCTTTGACAGTGTAGATCTCGTGCTGGAGGAGATCTCTGAACTGCCCACCACAGTACATGAGGAAGATCTCATCGATCTTTCCCGCCCCACTCGAGATCACATGCTGGAGGAGATAGAGATCTTCTCTCCCAAGAGCCGAAGAGATTGTTAGCGTCATCCTTGTTCCTGCCAAAGGTAGTGCTAGTGAGGCAGACCACAGCTGGGCGACATAGAAAGAGATGGTCGGAGCTCACGCCACTAGAGGGTCAAATCCAACTAGATCCATCCATCAGATCTCACAGTGATCCGTCAGCAACTCCATGATCTCTACACTGTCTTTATCGACAACATTTTGAATTGCCAGAACAAAGAGCATGAGAGGACTCAGCTTAAATAGGAGCGCATGGAGCTTGTCGACGACCGTACTCACTTCAAGAATAAAAAGGTCAATTTTGTTTTGTGAAAATTGAGAAGGGGATAATAACCCTTGTGGTATTACCTTCTCCAGATTCCGGAGACCACCACGACCTGATCCTATCCGTTATTGAGAAGGTAATCATCAAATATCCAACTCTCCTTGACCCTGAGGACAAGCCTCAGTGTTGGGGGGCGTCTGGTTCCCAATTCGATCTTTATCGCCTTAAAGGAGGTATTCTCCTCCTGTTGGGGCTTTGAAATCAAGTTGTCATCTTCATATCGAAGATGACGACCAACTTTGTTTCTCAAGTTTAGGGTCAGGTTTATCACGATGGACTATGGTTTATCTCATCACTGCAGTTTATCGCCGACTGACTATCACTGGTTGATAATGGTGAAATTTATTTTTGTATTTTTGGCTGTATCATTAATTAAAACCGATCATTTAACTAATTTTAAAAAGTATGGTCATTTACCTTAAAGATCCTTACATCAGTCATTTACTCTGGAATTCAAAAGTAACGCAGCTCTAGTTCAAAAGCAAATCTGATTCCCAATATTCTAACAATCATAAGAGATAAACATAAAATCAAATCAATTCTAAAAATGTAGACACGACTTCAAATTCAAAATTAAATACTAAAATTGTCTAAATCCAACTCCTAATCTGATTCCACATCAGTTATATTTTACAATTCCGAAAATCAAAATGATAGGGACAATTTGAATACTTAAGCTAAAACATTTAAGTAGAGACAATTCTTAAGCTTAACATTTGATTCCGATGTTCTAAGAAATAGAGATTAAATTGACGATGGCTTCAAATTTGCAGCCAACAGAGAAAAATTGAACACATTTTTATATCAAAATATTTAATTATAGCTTAATTCTCAATTCTGCGAAATTGACTAAACCCAAAGTCTTTTTTGAGATTTACAAACCCAAAACAATGCCCAAAGTCAGAATATTTAGCTAATTTTATTTCTCAACTTTTACCAGAATAACGCTCAAAAGCTTAATTGATACTGTGAATTTCAAGGAAAAAGCAGAAAAGAGCAAGTACCAGTGGCGATTGAGAGGAGAGAGAAAGAGAATCCAGGAAGGAGAGAGAGGCGATCGAGGGATTCGGTAGCCGCGCGGACGACGGCGCAATCAGAGCTGAGCGTGTCGGTTAGAAACTGAGAGATCTGAGGGACGACCTCCATTGTTAGGGTTTGCTTGTGCGCTGAAAACCCTAATTAGAATTGAAAGGTAAAGGAAGGAAGGAGAAAGAAGTGTGAAATTATTGCGCGGGAAAGAAAACGATTTTGCGCCTAGCTACGAATGAATATAAAAAAATAAAAATAATTAAAAAATAAAAATGTCAGAATTCTATATTTATTATTTTGTGAATTGAACATATGGATTATTTGTTATTTTAATTTTTTTGTGCGGGAATCGGAAGAACAAAAAAAAATTAAAAATTTATGCAAATAGAGATGCGAACCTACAGAACTAGAGATGCAAGAACGGGTTGGGCCGGCCCGGCCCGTTCTCTTTAGACTCGCGCGGATTGTGGGTCGGGCTAATTCAGTCTTTGAATTTTGTGGGTCGGATCGGACCGGCCAATATAAAAATTAACTCGGCCCAGTATACATCACGGGTTAATTTTATGTGGGTCAGGTTGGGCCGTGCCGTGGGCCAAAATGAACCCACATCTTGGCCCATCATGGGTTTAGATGGATCAGCCCATCATGGATTTTGATGGGTCAGCCCATTTAAGCATGTAATTTTTAATTTTTTTATTTTTAAATTTATAGACAATTTAACAAATATAAAAGTTTGAATAGTCAATAAAAATATGAAAAGAGAAATTTTATTTACAATTGCCTCATTAAAAACTTTTCCATGGAAAACCTAGTGGGACAAAATCTTGATAAGAAAAAAATAGTACAATCAAGATAATTATACATAAGATGTTTACAAAATTACTAAAAAAGACAAAAAACATAAAAAAAATAAATATTGTTCATAATTACAACGTATTACTCTCAATGGGAGTATCACTGGGTGTATAGGCCTTACACGAGCAGAAATGGCCGGCCTATTATGGGCCTAGACGGGTTGATTCAGCCCGGCCTAGCCCATAATTTCATGCCAGACCGGCTCATTGGCTGATATATGTTGGCCCAGCTCAGCCCACCGATATTTATGAACTGGGCCGTGCCTTGAACAATGAAAGGTCATGCCGGTCCGGCCTGTCACTGTGTCGGGATGGGCTTAGGCCGGCCCACGGATCACGGCCCATTATTGCATCTCTATGCGAACCCCATATGCCTCACATGGAAAGGGGGCGCTCTACCGTTTGAGCAACATCCGAACCCTATTTTTGTACCGTAAACCAAATAAGAATATTACTTTTCTTTGATTAATAAACATCACTAGAAGCCTGTTGTTATCATTAATTGTAGTTTTTTATTTTTTATTTTTTATTTTTTTGGATAATATCACTTTGGTATTCTCTTTAGATATTCATAGGGATCGTGTATTTTTAATAATATTAAAAAATATATTTTTAAAAAAAACATTTTTTCGATATTTGAGATGATTTTTAAGACATAAAATACTCATTCTACCATTCTCACTAATTGACAACAAACCAATAATTTTTAAAAAATATGAAAATAATTTAGAACATTTAATACATGCATGCATGTATATGAGTTTTTCATAGCTACGTTTTCATCAGTAGTTACCAAGTAAATAAAGAATCTATTCAATCTCATTAATTATCATAAATTTTATATATACATATATATGTTATATAGATGAGTTTTTAATAATTAATTTTAATCGAATTAAATATAAAAATTTGATGATGTAATATAATAAAAATTTACAACGTGTTTGAAATTGATTCTAAAAACGTTTTTCATGTTTTTAGAGAAAAAAAAATGAAAATGAGGATAAGATAGCGTTTGGAGCAACCAAAGACAAAAAAAGGGAAATGAAAATAATTTTTTAGTAATATGTAAAATGTGAAAGAAATGAAAAATGACTTTTAGTCATTTTTCATTTCTTATTTTTCATTTTTTCTTCTCTCGAATAGAGAGAGATATATACATATATATACATAATTATTTTATTAATGGGTTAAGAAAAAAAATATTTTCATTTTTTTATTTAATATATTATTTAAAACACTATTAGATGTTTTCAAAAATATATATCAATTTTTTCTTATATTGAAAACAATTTAATTTTTTCTTATATTGAAAATAATTTCTTAATAAAACTACTAAAAATATTTTCAAAAATAATTTATGCCTAAAATTAAAAAAAAAATTATGAAAAAAGTATTTTAAAATAAATTCTAAACGCAGCTTTAATCTCTTTAGTTGGCATAACTTTTTTTCACCATCTATCCAATTTTTTATTATAGTGTTATCAATATCTTACAACACCATACATGTGCGGGTAAGGAATTTGTATCTGCATAGTTCATTTAGTAGTTGTATACTTGTATTTTGTCTTTGTACGATAAAAATTAAATTCATTATTCTACGAAACTGATCAAACTACAACAAATCAAAATCAAGCATACCCATTTCTTAATTTGCCCAATCAAAGCATTCTCTACTTTCTCCAATATCTCTTCAAGCTACAGGCTTGAATCTTTGATTCTCAAAAGCATTAATGTTCAACTCTCAAAACACCAAAACCAAACAAATCCATCTCTGAAATTCCACCACCGACAACAAATTTCACTAAGGAATAAAAACTTCAGTACCCAATTGACAAAAAACCAGTATAAAACTACCCGAGTTCTAACGACATATCCCAAAGGCACTAAAAGAAATTTCTAAAAGTTATGCTCCAAAATAGCCCAAAAGCCAAAAACCTTCTTATGAAAGTCAATCATGCAAGAAGCTGAGAGAGAGTATCGGGCAGCAGACTCAGATGGAAAGGGGCGTAGATGGCAGTGATGGTGCTGAGGCGTGGACACCGGTAAATATGCTGGTATGAGTGGGGGGCGACTTGTCGTTGCCGTTGAAATCACGCCGCTTCTCACAGTCCACCGGAGCAGACATCACGACGAGAGAGAGAGAGAGAGAGAGAGAAAGTTATAGAAGAGAGCGTAGGAAAGATGGCGGCAATTTTGGAGTGTAAGTAAAAGAAAAGACCGGAGAGAAAAAGTAGATTTGAAAAAGAACAATTTATTTTGGACGGGAAATTGAAGATATTGCCATAATTTATGAGCATTTGAAAAAAAAAATGCTTACCAAATATGTTATTTGGCGTATTTTCCCAATAATAAATAACAATAATAATAATAAATGGCATAAATCTGGTTGGCAATCCTTCCAACACAAAATATCACAATAATAACTATAATACAGAAGAATCGTATCACAATGGGTTTGTCTACATATTCACTGCCCTAAGGTTTTTTCCATCTACACCAGAAGTGTGAAATAAATGAAATACTAAATACATATCTCTCTCATCCCATGAAAAAACTCTCAACTTAGAATATGAATGAGGTTACCTGTAAATCCTAACCTCGTCTATTCACAGCATCTTTACATAATTAGGAAAGAAAAATGTTCAAATTTCCGGAACTGCTCTATAACAAAGCTTCCAGATATCCACATTAACCAACGTGAGACTTGTTTTTCCTGTTCAATCATGAAAGGTTTGTAAGAGTGGCTGCATGAAGAATGCTGCAATTTATTTTCTATGAGTTGGACAAACCACTAACCTGTAACTTGCTCCCAAGCCATGTCCAATAGTTTTGTCTCGCGAAGATTTATAGTACTGAGCAAGTGCACCATTTGCGCGAGAAAGAAGCATTTCAGACTGTTCAAGCCTCTTGGCAAAATCATTGTCACCCAATTTCAACTGTTGGATCTGCTTCATGAAGAAAGCTTTTAGCACATTACGTTGCACCTTACATTGTGGTGAATTTGTTTGCATGGAAACATACTGAGAGAAATTAGAGAGACCAACGGGGAGAAGGGAGAGAATTCTAGAGAGATAACTCAAGAGTAGGACAATATGAAATTCCAATATTCAGTATCAATGTCCAAATTGGAAATACAATCCCTAGGCATATTTGTAAAGAAATAAAAACATAATGATAAGATAACCTCTACCTAATAATGAGAAACTTAACCAAACATAAATAACCCCAATAGACAAAATAATCTTGAATTTCTAACTACATCAAAACTAAATATTAAACATAAGTAATATTTCTACTTGCACCACATACCTTGCTTATTGGTGTTACATGAGTTCGCCCTTGTGTAGATTTTGTTCCAAGAAGTTTCTTCACCATGTCATCCAGTTCTGCTACCTTTTTGTTTAGATTGGTCTTGTCCATCTATAAATGACGATGGCAGAAAGCTCAAGAGAAAGTTTATTCACAGTAAAAAGAATAATTAGGAGTTACTGTTTAATACAAGCGTCAACTTAAGAAGTCTTCCCTACCTTCAGCATCTCATTCTGTGCAGAAAGCATGCGATCCCGTTCTTCGAGTTGTTCAACACTAATCTGGGCAGCAAATAGATCCCCTTCCCTCTTATTTATTTCCAGTACGAAACTACAAATACATTGTCAAGAAGTTATTAGTATAGTAATAACTGACAAAGACATTTCTTTAACTCTTAAAAAACCAATTTGATTAATAATATTTCGGCTTAAGAGAAACAAGGTCCATGATGTATAGCTTCGCCGGATAAAATGCAGTTTTGTCTTCCCTATGTGTCTATAATGCCAAGGAATTTAGCAATTTTCCTTTCTCTCACTGATTACGTATCTGGTAGAATGCTGCTTAATTTCTCTCTCTATCTCTCTCTGTTATTTTCACAGAAAGAGTCTTGGGAGTTGGGAGATGAATTTAAATGTGTATAGTGATAGAGAAATATAGACAAAAATGTAAGAGGAAGAGTCCTTTCAGTGGTAAGTGGATGGATAACGTGGTGAATACATTATTTTTCATTATCCACTTTCAACGTTATGTTGAGAAGTTCTGCGGTTAAAAAAAGAAATTCTATGTTGTACGCTTGCTGAATTTTTATAATGACTCTGAATTTTTTAAGTACACATATAAATAAACTAGGGTGGAGAAGTGTAAAATAACAAAAAAGAATGGGTCTTACCTTTCTCGTTCCTCATTTAGATCATTAATCTGCTTCCATAAGTTGGAAATTTCTTGCTCCTAACCAAAATGAAAAGGTGCATGTGTAAGGAAAGGATTACCAAAAAGAATCACTAAAAGTAAATGTTTTGTAAAAGCACCTTTTCTAGCAAGTCTTCAGTTTGTTGCTGGGCATCCTCCACTAACTTCTTAACCTGATACTGGTCGACCAAGTTCTAGCAAATACCAAAAGCAAAATGAAGTCATATTAATTACGCAACTACCAACTGCGATGCTTCCAAGTAATCGTATGAAACTTACTGCAAAGTTATTCATGTCCAATTTCACGCCAAGCAAGTCACGAATCACATCATGTGTCATGCTTTCTGCTGCAGCAAGTCTGGTATTAAGCGTACATATCTGATCCAGTAAGCTAGCAATCAGTACCTTAACTGACTAAAGGGTTGGAGTCTAGAATTTAGCCATGAGCACTTGCACATATCATTGTTATGTTTAATACTTTGATTAAGTGCAATTTTGTAAAAAGGTGAGAGAGAGGAGAGAGATTTGAAGGATAGATCCATGACCTCTTTCTGGCGACTAGCAGCAAGTGCCTCTAGCTCCTCAACGCGAAGCCTGGCTGCTGACAATTCCTGATCCTTCTCTGAATTCATCTGCTGAACACTTGAAATACATCTAAACGGTGAGCTGGAGCCTCTTGCCCTTACTGAGCTTTTCTCTGTGTTATGCGATGTTGGAACTGCAGATGTTGAATTTGTTGCATTCTCCGACTCTATTTTTACTTCATGTACCATGGCCTCCAATGTCTTATACTGTTGAAATATTGCGAAGGACAGTTCAAATAGTTGCTATGCCAATTGCCAAGATAGAAATTTGAAATGCATAATAGAAAGATAATAAGATAATAGAGGCCAACACCAAAGCTGAATTCTATATCCAGTACTAAAATCTAAGCCTCACATCAACCTCACAGATTGCTAGCATTTCTTTTCAAAGGCCATTAGAATATTTATTAGCACATAAAAAAAAAGTTCTCTTTTTAGCTGTTCGTCAATTCCTGAAAGGTTGAGACCACTAAAGATGTAGTGCGACTGTTGCCACCATGACTTATGTCTCAAGCATATTACTTGGTCAATAAAATAGTGAATCCAAATCATTATTAGAAGTTACCTTTTGTTGGTACTGAGATGCTTGGGCTTCTGCATGCACCATGAGTTCGGTGACGTAATCCTTGTATTGTTGGATCTTCAAAATAGTTATAGATTGTTAATAAAACTTTTAAAACATGGAGAAAACAGACATTGCAAACTAATAATGCCTTGTAACTCAAAAAGTATGCAATGGAAACTAAAACCCCTCCTAATAAAAGAGAATACCTCTCTATCTTGTACTGCTCTTTCCTCTTCAAGAAGCTTTATTTGAGTATGGGCCTGATGAAGTTCTAGTTCTTTATTATGTAGTTGCCTGCACCAGCCAAAACTATCCCATTAGATCTAAGCAAGTAGAAATTAAGAAATTAAATGAAGATTACAAAGAATATTTGTCACCTAGATATATGATTTTGACTTTGCTCAACATCTGTGCTCTCTGAGTCCACATTTTCTGTTAAGTTTTCAACTGTCGACAATCTCTGCCTCAAAGCTTTGAGTTCCAGTTCTAACGAATCTCTGATCAATCTATGTCTTTCTACCTCATCATCCATCTCATACACCTATAATTAATTATTAAAAAAAAAGATCAAATTGTCTTTTATTATCACAAATATTATTATAATAATAAATACACCATGTTAAACGTTTGAAAAGAAATTGATTTCAAATTAAAAACCAAGATAGTTTAATCATATCCACGTCTCTAGGTGTAAATATACAATTATACTGGACTTCTTTCATTTTTCACATGAGAAATGATTGTTTTTTTTTAATAAGAAATGGAGAACTTATGTTTACATCAGTGCTTCATAAGATTTAAACACAATCAGACGCTTCCGTAAAATAATAATAATAATAATAATAATAATAATAATAATAATAGCAATAATAATAATCATAACAGTAACATTAACAGCAACAAACAATGAGGAGGAGGAGATGAATGAGTGGAAGATACCTTCTTTTCAAGGACATTTATTGTAGACTCAAGCTCCTCAATAGAACTTTCTAAAATTTTGACCTCCTCTTCCTTTTGTTCCGCATATATCTTACTTGCTTCAGATTCCTACGAAATTAAGAAAGTTGGGGTGAAATCCACCAACAACGCTGCAATATATCTTTAGAAATTTAAAAAACGGAAAGGGTTGTTTTATGGTACCTGGCGAGCTTCAACAGTAATAGCTTCTTTTTCATCAACTAATGCATACGCCATCTCGAGTTTATCATTCAAGGATTGAACTTCTTCTTTGAGTTGGTCTCTCTCACTGGTCACCTTTGTCAAATTATCTTCAACATCTTCAAACAAAGAGAGGAATTGTTTTTCTATTGAAGAGCTCAACTGAAGAATTTCTTCTTCTAAACTTTTGACTACCTCTTTCTGTTCTTCTAGTTGTTCTTCAACTTCAGATTTATTGAGATAGAGATCTTTAAGAAGCATTTTCAGCTCAGAGTTTTGCTCCGAAAAAGTTTCGATTGTTTCATTCGCATGCGCAAGATTGGAATTTGATATGAAAAGAGCCTCTTCGGTATCAGTCAGACGACACTCTAGTTTTTTATGTTGGACCAGAATTGCATCAAGCTGTCTTGTTTTCAGTTCTAGCTCATGCCGAACTTGGCCGAAAGAACGCACAAGTTTATCAGTTTCATCCTTGATGTCCTTTGTGTTTGATGTTGATTCTTGCAACAAACTGAAATCAAAAAGCAAACCCTCTAGAAGAATTTCTTTCCGTTTCAATTCTTTCTTAAGTGCTAAATTCTCATATAACAAATCATCATTGGATAAGCTCGTATCAACCACTTCCACAATGTGAGCTACTTCATTTTGAACCCCTTCATCTACAGACTTACCACTAGTACTCGCAATCTTATTTCCGTCATTTGACCAAATATGTTGCAGCTTATTGACGTGACTCAATAGGGGGAAACCAGTTTCTGCATGTAGGCTTGGAATCTTTTCTATAAGCTCTCCTAGATAACATTGGTGCAACACAAAAAAGACAATGTCGTTCTCCAAAATCTTAGAGCACATATCTTCTAGACATGATCTCGAATTGCTTACGAACTGCAGCATTTCCATTCCCATAGAAAGTACATCAGAGTATATGGCTTTCAACGTTTCCTCGTCACTTTTCAATTGCGTATAACACCCTTCAAGAGAAGAAATTGAGTTTGCAATCTCTACCAAACTACAATGGGCTTGATCTTGAAGTAATTGATTTTCAGTTTCTTTCACGCTAATTGAAGACTTTAAGTGTTCAACTTCTTCAATAAAGTTTGCTCTCTCTATCATCAACTCCTCACCAGTGTGTTTCCACATACCAGTCAATTGTCTTGCATTCTCATTTGCTTTCACCAAAGCATTCAACATAAAATCTGCTTCTTTTATTGTGGCATTGGCTTCCTCAAATTTGGTTAGAAAGGTTCCAACATGATCAATGTTTTCATCATCCACAACCTGCACAGAAATTTGGTTAATCTTATGATCTTTTACCCTTTTCTGTAAGATATAGTTTCTTTAAAACTAATAGTCAATTTCATCATAACATCTAGTTTGACCATGCAATAATTCATTTAGCTTCAGTTATTTGAGTGTGAATTTTACCTTCTCATTAGTATGAGAACCTGCATTAGCTTCCAATGCCAATTCTGAAGATGGAATCGAACGTTTCAAGTCTGCCATGCATCATGAGTCAATTAGGCCCCTTGCGTGAAACATATGATGACTATTTCAAAAGTGCAAGTTCAAGAAAATGCTACCTTCTGGGTCAGGATAATGTCCCAAGTTCAATTCATTGGCAAGTACTGCTAGCTGAACATATAGCGTGTTGAAATCATTAAATAGAATCCCGAGCTCCTTTTTCAGAAGTTTTATTGCTGCTTCGCTGTTGCAAAAATCTTTCAAAGGCTTATTTGGATTTTCTGAGTGTTGGTGGATCGTCCGATGTGTTGAGCCCTCAAATTTGAGGTCCACCATCTGCTCAGATATCTTCTCAGGTGAATTAGACCAGCAAATAGACGAGGAAGCATCCAACTTGTTCCCCGAAGCATCACTTTTAGTTGAAAAATCAGAGCTGGATGAAGAAGAATCAGGACTCCATGCTTCTGCATGTAAACCTCCATCAGTCGAAGAGTACTCAAACAAATTTACTTCAGCATGGACGAAATTTTCGATTACTTTCAGCGTGCAATTCAGTTTGGCAAGTTCGTCTTTTATTTGATGCAGCATGTGGAACTGGTCTTCAAACTTTTGATTATTGTATACTTGCATTGATGGTGTATCAACTGCACAATGGTCAGAATTCTTGTACCCTGCTCTTAGCTCCATGTATTTCTCTCTCATTTCACGAACTTCTTTCACCAAATTTTGGACCAGTTCCTTGTATTCATAGGAAACTTCCTGAACATTTGTTTGAAGAGCTACCATATGCAGTGCTGTGTCTGCATAAAATGCATTAATAGCACTTTCTGATTCAAGTACTCCTAATCTCGCCAGCTCAACTCTGGTGGTCATAGCATCTTCCAGTGCCAAAGCATCTGCATCAGTCTTTGCCTCTGAGATTTTATGGCTGGCCATCTTGACAGGAGTAGAGATAGGGATACTACTCTTTGTTCCATTTTTATGTGCAACCTTTTGACTGTCCAAGAGCCAATTTATCAAAACAAAAGCAACGCTAGCACATTTTTCTGCTTCAATAACCTCAGCCTCCTTCAACTTGAGTTTTTTCTCGACCACCTTTACCATGTCGATCTTATCGTTCAACAACATGCTCACGTGCTCTTTGGAGATTTCATCATTATCTTGATGTTGGAGTTCAGTTAAAGCCAGCATTACTCCCTTCAAGGAACTTAGCTTCTGCCCCATGTCTACAACCATGTTCTGAGCATCCTCCAAGCTCCTCTTTAGTTGCAAAATTGTTTCTTCCTTCTCAATATATATTTTGGCAGCTCTCTCAACATGTTCACTGATCCAAAGATTAGCTTGGGGAAATGAACAAGCAATACTTTCTATTTGGCTGGAGACGTTTTTGAGGGATCTAGAACCCTCTACAAGAAATCCAGTAAGCTCTAAGGTTGCTCTTTCCCACTCCATATTTATTGCCTTTATTTCCTCCTCTTTAGTTGCAATTTTCTTTCTTTGTTCAATATTTTCCTCAGTCATATAACAAAATTTCTCATCAAGTTTGCACTGAAGTGCAGCAACCTCTTCCTGTAGTTGAAGAATTGTTCTAGCCGTCTCCATCTCAACCTGTTCACGAATTAATTCAGCTTTTTGTTGGCAAGATAACTGCAACGCCTGCTCCTCTTGAAACTGGATATTTAGTAGCCTAACCTCCTGAAGGTTCTTGGCCATCCTATCCAACTTGGCTTGCAAGACCATCCTGTCAATTTCTTTGTTGCTTTCCGCGACCAGGCCATTGTTTTGCCTATCCAAATCACCAAATTCTGAAAATCTATTTCCAAGTCTTAGCACAGGGAGTCCCTCTAACTTGTCCTGTGTATTTGGTTGCTCAATGATTAAACTTTGTTGATCACGCTTCATCTCCTCAATCAACAACCTAGCATCTGTCAACTCTTTTTCAGTAACATTAGAAGGCATAATTGGAACATCATCCGCATTCTTATCCATGTGATTTTGCAAAGGGTCGTCATTCCTTCGGATAGAAGATGATGTCTCATCTCCAGAGTCACTTTGCACAGACATGCTCTTAACCTGTGAATGTGGTAGCTAATTACAACTCAAATCAACAGAATACCATGCACCTATTTTGAATTTATAAGGAACTATTTCAGTAGTTTGTTAAGTGATGCTTACAGAGTCCGAGACAGTTTCACCACAATTCATATTCTTTTTCAGTTGCATTCGTAGTTCTTCTACTTCTCTGCAGAAATAAGCCATACAAATCATTAGACGAGTTTAACCAAATTGGTAGCCACTGAAGGACGGATGCCATCAGTTCTTTTATCATTTACGTGAATCAAAACTGATGTTTATTGCAAGGTACAAGGTATTATGACAATATGACAAAAACAATACCTAAAGAAGAAAATATGACAAAAACAATACCTAATCATACAAGGTACAAGGTATTCTGACAAAAACAATACCTAATCAATTTGGAATTCATAATCCTGCAATCTTCTAATTCCTTCGTTGAACCATACTCCTGCATTTTTTAAATGGTAGGCAACAATTGGTAACCGCTAAAATGTAATATGTAACTATCAAACTAATGGAAAAGTTCTTTCTAACCTGGTTTTCATTGTTTGTGAAGAATTGATTCCTTCCTTCTAGCACATCCAGAAGCTATACATTGAAAATACTTAAGATATATGCTTCAGATCAAAGAGGAGGACACTAAGAACAAGAAAAATAGATTGTTCCGAACCTGGTTGCGTAATTCTGATACTTCAGCTAATAGTGTTTCACGCTCTCCATGTTCGTAAAAGCTTTGGAACCTGACATGAAGAATGACACAAATGGCATTAGCATCCCCGAAGAAACAAAAACCAACAATGTGTGGTGCATGTAGAATGTAAATTACTCATGGAAATTACACTTGTAGTTGCTCTCGAAGTCGATTATTCTCTACAGCATATTGGGTTAATTCTGGATTTTCATCCTTTCTTTTTCGAAGCGCCTGAATCTCTTCAAGCAAAGCCTTGTTTTCTTGCACAAGATAATTGTCAACAGACAGCATTCCATCTGTCAATAATTCAAGCCGTTTAATTTCTTCATTGCGGAACCTTAGCATCATTTTAGTATGTTGGGCATCGTCTTCTCTCTGGCATGCCTATGAAGATGCCACAGCAACAAATTAACCCCGTAACAACTAATTATTTGTCATTCATTATGCTTTCAAAAAAATTGAAAGAATTTGTTAAGTGCAAAGTTATCAACAAAAAAAAAAAGTACATAGAACAATTTGTTAGGAACTCATGAGAATTCATACCAAGCACTTCACGTGTTCAAGCTGAGCCTCTAACTTTTGTAGTGCAGTCTCTGTGATTTTTTCTCTCCTTAAAGCACCTACTAAATTAGCTTCCATACGTTTTATCTGCTAATTCAGTATAAGTATAAATAGGAGATGGGTCCAATGCTATAAAAGATTGGAGGAAAATATTTAAATGCAAAAACTATGTTACCTTATCTTGAACATACTGAATCCCATTACTATCAGTTTTTATTGTATCTCCTAGAGAACTGTATTCATCAGACATTTCACTGAATCTAGATTCTTCAAAATTTGGCATGCAACTTGTTGAAGACCTCGAAACATAGTTGCGCTTCATTAGAAAGGACAACTGGCCCTATTTGAGTTTTATAAATGCCTTAGTTCTGCTATCCAGTATACGTTCAAGATAAACTCTTTTTTTTTTTTAAGATAAGACATTCAAGATGAACTCTCGCAAATATAAAAGAATATGCATACCTTCAACTGTTGGATTTCCTGCTG